ATAAGGGTCAGCTAGATAGCTCAGTGAACTAAAGTGCCTGCTTAGGCAGAGCGCAGTGACGGGTTCGATCCCGGGCTTGCCATGCTGACCCTTCCCCCAGGGTGCACTGAGACAGCATGCTTGAGACTGGATGTGGTGGCATGCGCCTGTTATCCCAGTGCTTGGGAGGCTGAAAACAGGAGGATCACTACAAGTATGATCTATGTAGTAAGACCCTGTAGACCCTGTACTAAATACATAAAAAAAGAAAAAGTACAAAGTTGTACATGTTCTATTAGCTTTTCCCATTATGTCTCTCATTCCATGAATGAACAATATACATGAAAATTGCTGCCATCCCCTCACTTCTCAGATGAAAACTGACTTGACTATATTCATTGCAAAATCAATTTTTAGGTCTTAGCAGTTTTAACAAGTCATGTGAAATGTAGCTTTCCATGGGATTTATAAACTTTGCTTTAGAAGTGCTTTTTATTTTTTATTTTTATTTTTATTTTTATTTTTATTTTTTCAGAACCGGGGATTGAACTCAGATCCTTGCATTTGCCAGTCAAGCGCTTATTCTACTGAGCCATCTCCCCGGCCAGTGCTTTTTATTCTATTAAAAAATCTTTTTACTTATAGTGGGATATCAATAAAAAAGTAATCTCTGGAAAGATTCCAGATGCTTTGGGGCCGGGGAGATGGCTCAGTAGAATAAGCGCTTCCCTGGCAAGCACAAGGGCCTGAGTTCAATCCCTGGTTCCGCAAAACAAAACTAAACAAAACAAAAAAACCTTTCTTCGGGGCTGGTGAGATGGCTCAGTGGTCTAAAGCACCTACTCAGAACAAGTTTAGCGAAGCACGGGGACCGCGGTTCAATCCCCTGGCACCACATGCCAGCCAGCCCCGCCCCCTGCTGGGCTGAGCTGGCCACACACACACACACACACACACACACACACACACACACACACACATAAATAAATAAATAAAATTTAAAAAAAAAAAAGATTCCAGATGCTTTGCAGGAAGATTTGATTAAAAAAGCCTGTATCTCTATCACATGAGAAACTTTGGAGTATCTGAGACTAAATGAGATCCTGTGTCCCATTTTAGTTTAAATTTCATTACACTTATTCCCAGGAATTAATAAAACTTTTATCTGATAATAAACTAGTAGCTTTTCAACATCATAAAAACATGTTTGAGAGTAAAATTTATGTTGACAAAAGTATCAGTTCTGAAAATGAAAAAAAAAATAGAAATTCTGTACAACTTTCTGCTAAAAGAAAGAGCCTACTCCATAGGATACTTCTGTTATTTTTTGATATGGAATGAGCAAAAATATTTGCATTTCTAAGAGTCAGAAGGGCTTTTAAATGAAAAAGTCTGAAATGTGCTAAAGCATGTTTGTGTTTGATCTGTATTAGAATTTACAGAAATCTCACATGGGTTACCACAAGTATGTTATCCTCGTCTCTACAGGCAAGGATAGTTTGCTGTGATAGTTACATGCCAGCAGTGAGAGGGCAGTGAATAAAGGAGGGGAGGGTGTGTTTCTCATCTTAAAAACTCAACCCAGAAACTTCTTAGATCATTCATTCCCACATCCATTGCCCTGAATTTAGTCCTATTACTATAGCAAGCTATACTATAGTGTGGGAGACTGAATATTTCTTTGGCTAACTCCATGCCCAGCTAAAACTCAAGGGTGCTATGAAAATGGGAGAAAAAAAATAGAAAGGCAGAAAGTAGCTAACTAGAACATACTTTTCTATTTCATGTATTACATCCATAAGCAAAGAACAAGGCCACATACTTCTTTTTTCCCCACAAGAAATTATCTGCAAATACTCCATTCTGTTTTACCTTGCCACATCATAGCTGAATATGTTGAGTGAAAATTGTCCTGAACTGCTTCCTGTTTAAGCTATGGTTCTTTTAGGTCTCTAGTTCATCTGCTAATTACAACAATAAAGATTTTTTAAAACATAAAATTCACACAATGTCAGCTGAGTGAGATGATGAGATAAGAAACATTGTTTTAAAAGTATTTAATGATTTTTTTCTCAAATCAGTACAAAAATTTAAATACAAAAATGATTTCTTCTTAGGTCTCAAATCTATAGTGGAAACTCAAACAAGTTACCAGTCTTTTCACCATTCATTGTAGTCTGTAAGATATTTGAGGACAGTCACCTATTACAAACATTCTTTCCCCTGTAGATATCATGTATTATAACTCTTTAAATAACAATATTAGCAATTTGGTCCATTTCACATGGAAAAGTTCTAGTTTATTTTGAATTAAATATGGATTACACTACTATCCCTAGACTTTAGAACGTGCGGTTATTTCTTCTGCTTTTATACTGACGTATTAGTATGATGTGCATCTCTCAAAGGGGAAACACAGGCACATAGATAATTATTTAAAACTCTTTTTTAAATTAAATGGAGTATCATTTAACTCTGAGATTAGCACCATTGTAGAATACACAGTATCTGGCATAGATTTTGCTCCTCCTCCATCTAAAAGTTAGAAGCATATGCCTGATAATGTACATACATACATACAAATATATATAGAGGCAATTGAGTAACAACTAATAAATAAGTTGGAAGATATTTTGAAAAGCGAAACTTGGTTTTAACTAAAGAGGTAATTTCTCTCTTGTTGGAAATTAATAGTCCATACATGTACAGATAAATACAGTTTTACAAATCAGTTGGTCTTACATGCCTCCAACTCATTTCAACACAGCTATTAAGCAGGAGGAGAGGTCCATGTTATCTCTGTGTAGTCACCAGGCCAAAACCAGCAGCCTCAAACCAACCCAAAGGATACCTGGCCACATAAATGCTGCCTACTGTGAAAATGCAGATTGAGTAGATCTTTTTGATGGGAAAACTGTTACATAATTAACAGTAACTAGGAAATCTTGTGGTAATGAACTAATTTTTCTTAAGAATTGAGAAGAAATGGTGCTTGTATACTATATAGGGAAAGACACTTATTTAGCCAATAATTTTTGTGGTAGTAAAATGTGTGTGTGTGTGTGTGTGTGTGTGTGTGTGTGTGTGTTGCATGTTTAACCCAGAGTCTTGTACATGCTAAGTAAGAGCTCTACTGCTGATTCAGATTTGACGTGGACATGTTTCCATGTGTTTTAATATAGCATTTCTTTGTATACTTTTACATCTATATCTATCCTTCTGTTCCTCAATCTTTTAATTTCAATAAAGATATATAAAAGATTCTACTCTCATAGTTCCACTTTATTTTTTTCAAGAGGCTTATAGAGTCCATGGTGGGTAACAGTGGACTTGAAATGGTTTGTCTGTGTTTTGAGCAATGCTAATTAGTATATATATGCCTAAATATCTGGGCTATTTATTTTTATCAAGACCGTTTTAGTTGTTGACTTGCACTGAGCACAGGGTGACATAAAAGACCTGGGCTAGGACCCACAAGATAGATCAGCAGACTAAGTGCCTGCTTAAACAAGTACAGGGACCAAGGTTCTATCACTGGCACCACATGCCACACTAGCCCCGCCCCCATGTGCGCCAAGCTGACCACTGAGACCCGGTGTGGTGGTGCAGGCCTGTAATCCCAGCACTGGGGAGGCAGAAATCAGGAGGATCACTAGGAGTCTGAGCTGCATAGTGAGACCCTGAACCAAATACATCAGAAAAAGAGAGACATGAGTTATTACTACCCAATGACATTTCAGCTATCTCTTCCACAAGTTGCTGCTAAAGAAACAGTTATTTTTGTATAATTTTAGCACCTTCACCCATCACCTGGAAACATCACACTTACTTTTAGATCTCAAATCTCATAATTATTTCTTAAGTACCAATTTTTTTCCTATGAATTCTTATTTTTTCCCCAAATAAAAAAAAATGGTTTGGATTTTGGGAACTCACTTTAGAAGATGAGCTGACACATCAGTTTGCAACCCTACAAAATAGGAAGTTTTCCAATTGACAGCTACTAACGAATAATGATATCTCCATGATTCTCCTCATTGTGGTTTATGTATAGAGAAAAAAAAAAGAGGAAATTTTAATGCATGTAAACACAGTATCTGCTAATAATAAACATTTCACAAGACTGGCAAGTTATACTGTGGAAGCAGGGTTGCTTGGTTTCTTTTTAACTTCCTAGTATTTTTATGGATAAGGCCATAGTGGAAAGAGATTTTGTAGAAAGAGAAAGAGAAAAAGAAAAAGAAGTCACAGGGAAAAATAAATCTTTGAGGGATGAATGAATGAATGATTACTCTTGTCTCCCAGCTGGTTTGTTAGCTCCTTGTGGGCTCAGGTCGCACTCTAGCACTTCAGTGCTCTTTGCACAAAAAAAGTACTAAGGTGGCTGACTGGTTCTCCAGTTCTTTCAGAGAGCCTCCTAAACACAGTTCTAACTATTGTGGAAGACAGCCTCTAATGGGAGAGAAATATCCTTTGAGCTAAAAGCTACCATAGTTTCCATGGCCCCCAACCTCCTGCTGAGACAGTAACAATACAGACGCTCTATGCCCTGCCACACATACATGTCATGGCAAAGCATCTGCACAGATGGAGAGAAAATTATGCAAGTAAAAACAATATGTCATTGCTGACATTTCTTTAAGGCATATTTATAAATACTTTAAAAGAAACAATATGAGTGGGTGACTTTCATTAGCTATGATCTTTCAGACTGACATATTTTGACTGATCTGAATAAGCAGGTTATCATGGAAACATATAACAAATGACAGTTAACATGATTCCAGTGGGTAAAACGTAAATGTCAGTACTTGATATATAAATCTATCCCATCATTTTCAATTACAAGTTGCTGTGCAGAATATTCAACATGCATCTTGTTTTTTATTTGTACAAGATTGTCCAAATTTTCACTTAAATATAACTTTCCAACTATATAAATGTTTTGAAGCAATTGTATTTTTCATTTGTATTTTTGCTGTCTTATTTTTTTTTTCTTCTATTAAATCTCTCTTCATTTCTTTACATGGGATATAATAAATATCCTGAAAAGGAGGAGTGGACGTACTGCCCGGCGTACAGCCCCGCAGCCTGTTCCGAGGGCATCTGCAGGAATACCCGGTCTCCTGGCCTAAGCAGCAGCACGGCACTTCCGGATGCCTGGTCCAGAAAACCCTTCTTGTACTCATCATATGTGTACATCATGGGCTCATTGTTCTTGAAGAGAGCAACCCACACATTGCCGCCCTTACAGTGAACATGGTAAGCAAAGTAGTAGACGCCAGGGACCTCACAGGTGAAGATGCCCGTCTGTGGATTGTAGTTCTGTCTGCCGTTATAGAGCAGCTTGTCAAACTTCACTGGGGCCCCCACTGGTGGGAAGGGTGCAGTCAGCTCTGCGGTAAATGCAGGCATCTCATAGGCTGGCCCTCCATTCTTACCTTTTTTAGCCCCATAGGCATGTGGGGGTTTCACGCCATCAATTCCTACCCCCATATCTGGCAGATATTCTCCCTGGGGGGGTGGTGTAGGAGGCATCACAGCTGGGAGACCAGGTGGTCCTGGAGGTCCTGGGGGCCCTGGAAGGCCAGGTTGGCCTTGAGGACCAAGGGCACCAGGCTTCCCTGGGGGCCCATGAAGTCCAGCAACTCCAGGTTTCCCTATACCAGGGAACCCAGGGGGCCCAGGAAGGCCTGGTTCCCCTTTAGGACCTGGAATTCCAGGTGGCCCAATAGGGCCACTAGGGCCTATAATTCCTGGGATACCTGGGGGCCCCTGGAGACCTTGATCCCCTGGGATGCCTGGTTCTCCCTTGGGTCCAAGCAGCCCTGGGACACCAGGGAGCCCTGGCAATCCTTTGTGGCCAGCTTCACCCTTAGGCCCTATGGGACCTGGCAAACCTCTCATGCCAGGGGGTCCTACTTCACCAAGGAAACCTGGCTTTCCTGGGAAGCCTTGAAGTCCTGGCTCACCCTTAGGACCTGGTGGACCCTGTGGCCCTACAACCCCACCTTCTCCTTTGGGCCCAGGGAAACCAATAGCACCTGGAGGGCCCATAGGGCCAGGGATTCCAGGCAGGCCTGGCTCTCCTGGAGGACCACCTATCCCAGGAGCACCTACTGGTCCTTTCTCTCCTCTGGGTCCAAGAGCCCCAGGAATACCCCCAATGCCCCTGTCACCTTTGGGCCCTGGGAAACCTGGTTTCCCAACTCCTGGAAGGCCTGGGGGTCCTGGAACTCCTGGTAGTCCTTGCTCCCCTTTGCCACCTGGAAATCCTGGCTGGCCAGGGATCCCATCCTGGCCTGGTTTTCCAAGTCCAGGCAAACCAGGAGGTCCTTGAATGCCTGGTACCCCGATAGGTCCTTGTGGGCCAGGTTCCCCTGGAGGCCCTGGCTTCCCCAGGGGCCCTTGAGGCCCAGGGAAACCTGTGACTCCTGGTTTTCCCACTCCTGGCAGTCCAACAGGGCCAGGAGGGCCGTGCATTCCTGGAGGGCCCTTCAGACCTGGCAGACCTGGCATCCCAAAGCCCTTCTCTCCTTTAGGTCCCTGGAGGCCTGGAGGTCCTGGTGGTCCTTTGGGTCCTCGTTCACCCTTTGCTCCTGGCTGTCCTGGTAATCCTGGTCCACCTGGCTTCCCAATACCAGGAAGTCCATGAGGTCCTGGAGGTCCTTGTGGTCCTGGAATTCCCATAGGCCCAATTTCCCCTTTGGGTCCAATTTCACCTTTTGCCCCAGGCATTCCCATGGCTCCTGGCTTCCCAGGCATTCCAGGCATGCCTGGCTTTCCAACTCCTGGATAGCCTTGTGGCCCTGGTTTTCCTTTGATTCCAGGTATCCCATGACCTGGCAAACCAGGGGGCCCAGGTGGTCCTCTTGGGCCAGGTTCTCCACGGGGACCTTGTTCTCCTCGTAAACTGGCTAATGGTATCTCTGCTAGGAAAGAAAGAGGGAGGGAAGATGAGAGAGAGATTGGTTTTGAATATCCATCATTTCAACTAAAGAAATCAGTTCATTCTGACACATTTTACTTTTACTTAGTGAAAGAAAAAACTATAAATAATAATATTCAGCTTTAGGGTTATACAGTCTCAGTACTTAAAGGAAAATCAAGCTCCTAATTTCTTTGATGCACTCAAACTATTATTTTAAGAAATACTATGTATAGGTGCTTCTAGTTAAAAAGATAAAACATAAGAAACATTTTTCCCAGTACAGAACTTAAAAATACTATGGTATGTCCTTGACAGAAAATTTGAAAAGTTCAAAAACATGTAAGAAAAATTTTAAGTTGCTACAGAGATAAATAATTGACATATAAGTGGTGAATCAAAATATATATATATATATATATATGATGAATATTTGCATTTTAAATAATTATTATACCAAGACACATTTCCATTAATGTTCCTCAGGATAATACCCTTTGCTTTGAATATACTTCTCATATTATTCTTGTGACTTTCTAAAGCAATTCTAGAAGTCCTCTTCTGTATCTTTATGAAGTATGATCAAAAAAATACAATGAATGCTGTTGCTGAGCGCTATCTAAAGGAAAGGCAGTCTTGTAAAAACACTATGATGTTTTCCCATTGATCTTTTTCACTGGATGTGATCTGAAACTTCTGGATCTTTTCCAAGTCAAAGTAACCTTGAAATGTAAATATTTTGAATTAATTCAGACATTGAAGAAGTCATAAATGTGCAGCTAGAGAGAGAGCTTCCAGAACTGCTTCAGAAAGTACCAAAAAAAAAAGGATATAACTTCAAAGAAAGGGGAAATATTTGATTTTGAGGGGAATAAATGACAATGTGTCTTGTACTATAGTACATTTTAAAAACTGAAATAATCATATTTTTGTATCACGCAACATATGTATTTTCATCTCATTTCTAGGTGTATGTGTGTGTATTTTAAACAATGGTAGAGTCATTCTCTGCTTTTATTTTTTTCTATTTAAGTTAGATTTTTCTGACATTATCATTTTGGTTTTTATTTTTAAAATTTATTATAAATAAACATAGGTATTTGTGTATGCCGGTCAAATAGCTCAGCAGATTAAAGTGCCTGCAAACAGGCAGAGGGCCCTGAAGTACCAAGCCCGCCCCTGGGGCATGCTGTGACAGCGATTGAGACTGGGTGTGGTGGTGGGTGCCTGTAATCCCAGCTCTTGGGAGGCTGTGAACAGGTAGATCACTATGGGTCCCATCTAGTAGTGAGACCCTAAACACCCTGTAGACCCTCGCCTAAAAAATACACAAAAAGAAAAAAAAAAGGGGGGGGGGCATAGGATGCACCAAAAGCCAAGCAGGCCATTCAAGAAAGGAAGGAAAAAATGCTGAGGTAATCTAAGTAAGTGGCATACTAGCTCCTAAAGAGAGTGAAATTGGGATTATGTCTCTGATGCTAATAAACATTATTGTAGTATAATTAAGGTATGTTACTTGTAAATGTAAATTGTTTAGTTACCATATCAAGGGAGTATCTGCAAAGGAATCATATCTTACGCCTCAGGAATTCTGATATCTAGCACAATACCTGAAACATGCTTTGTTCTGACTGAGAATTCGTTGAATGGAAATTGTAGCAACTCAAAGTTCCCATGGTGCTTTATCATTTGCTCCGCACTGTTAATCTTATTGTCATTGAGTCTCTCAACACTCATATTTTAAACATGATTTTAAAAAAAGGCACAGAAAAGTCAAATGAACACATCTCTCTCATTTCTGGGATCCAAGATCCAGGAACTTCCTAATACTGTGACTGCTACTCTGCTGTAGCTCTTCTTCCTATAAAAACTATGGTTTTCAAACCTGTAGATAAACCAACTGAATTTATAAGAAAATATCTGTCACAATGATAAACATTTTATAGGTGTTAATTAACTAATAATTAGGCCTAAAAAGTAATGGGCAAGATTTCCAGGTGTCATCTCAGTCTGTACTTTTTTTTTGTCTCCTTCTGTCCATTGTTGATTGACAGGTATGGCTCAATAAGTGCAGTATTTAAAAACATTTGCATTTACCTAGCATTTAGTTTGCAAAATGCTTTCATAGCTTTTTCTTTGAGCATAGCAGGTTTTTACATTACTGTTTTCCTAAGTTCAAAAAGGTTGATTTGTCATTTCATTTTTTTTTAGATTTTTTTTTTCAGGGTCTCACTACATAGCCCACATTAGTAGCGATCCTCCTGATTTCTGCCTCCCAAGTGCTGGCATTACAGGTGCGTGCCACCGCGCTCGAACTCCATCGCTGGCTCAGTGTACCCGAAGGCCCCGGCAGGCGGAGCCACATATTGAACCCTGGCCCTTGCGTCATTTTTTTTCTTTTTCCCTTTTTACTGATTTTTCCCCCAGCAAATGGCCCAAAGCCTTACATAAAAATGGGTATTCATAGATAGCTGCTAAATTTTGAACAAATAATAAATAAAGTAATAAACTACTTGTGATTAAATGTTTGATTGTATTTGATGCTATATAAAGCATAAAACTGGAATATCTATATTTATTTTCTGTTCTTTTTCTCTTTTATTCTTTCTGGTGCTAGAGATTGAACCATATATTTTTCTTTAAGAATGGAACTTTGTGAGGATAACAGTTTGGAATTCAACATCCATTTGATAATCATCAATAGTAAGTTCTAAAATAAAAGTTTCTAAAATGAGCTTTTTCCCTCCATCAGGAGGTTAAAAAACTACTGTTTTATAACATTATGGACATATGATATTACCTTTGCCTTTCTTGGGTGCTGTTTCCTTGCTCATCCTTGGCACTGGTTGAATCTCCTTCATATACTGGGGTAAGTGTGGATACTCTTTGCCATACTGCAAATGAGGCAGCTCTTTGCCCATGGCAAGGCCATCTTTGCCCAGAGGCATATGAGGTACTTGCTGGCCCAGAGGCTGGTATTGTGGAATTTGTGGTGGCATCTGAGGAGGAATCTGAGGTGGCAGTGGCTTGATCCCATAGTAAGCACCAGCCTGAATGAACCTGATGAAACTCAGGGAAATGGTGAGTAGCACTCCAAGCACCTGCAGAGGGCCAGATGGTACAGCCATCACCTGTGGAGGAAGGAATGCACCAACATGGTGAGAACCTGTGTGTTGCCTTGGAGGCAGTGGGAAAGGGGAGGAAATAATAGTCCTTATCATTGGAACTTTATGGGTAGAAGGTAAATAAAAGATTTACTGCTTCCTAGAAAAAAAAATCAAAGAACCAAAAGAGCTGTCTGTAATGTGAAGGTAATTGTTGGGAAAATAGGCTGTGGCAGAGACTGCTAGTTATTTCCAAGACTCAGTTTTGCCTGTCTTTCATAATATCGGAACTCCTAATTTTCAACTGGGAATAGGGAAACCCAAAATGGAGACAGTTTTAGTTAGGTGGCCCCGTAACAAAGTTGTCATCAGATGGATGTAGTTAATGGTGCAACTTCTAAGAAGGATCCTAATGGGGAAAGGGGTATTCTTTCCCTTCATCTATCTTGATGCTGGAATAGTGATATGTTGCCAGAAAATGGATATTGGACTGCACAGTGGAGACTATGTGTTAATAGTAGAGTAGAAAGCTAGAAGAAACCTCAGCCCTTGTTTAATATGGAGGCTCTAGTCTTTACTAATCCTTAAATTTGCCATTTGTTTACTCAAGAGAGAAAGTTTTGTTTCTTTGCTTGTTTTGGTTTTTTTTTTTTTTTTTTTTGAGACAGGGTCCTACTATGCAGGTCAGGCTGGATTTGAGCTCACTGTGTTTGTCACAAGTGGCCTCAAACTTGTGACCACCCTCCTGCCCCAGCCTCCCAAATGCTAGAATTACAGGCATATACCACCACACCTAGCAGTTTTTCTTCTTTAGTCCACTTTTATTTTGAGTATCCCACATTTGCACAAAACCTAATCATACTAGACATAGTACAAGATGCAGATGATATGTTGTCTAAACACTATCAGTACAAGTCTTTCTTCTCACTGAACTCAGAGAAAGTAGCTGTATATCTATCCTATTTTGTATATACAGATATATGTGTATATATCTGTATATATTTCACTACAAAATGGTCCTTCATTTATATCCCCCATTTTTGTTTACTTTTGTCAGAGATGGGTGTTCCAGTGCCATTAAAATATTGTAGGTGTGTGAATTCAGTAAAATAATCCAATATTGTCCAGTAGTTCATAATAGTAGTGGCTTATCCACAGAACTAGCAATATCAGAAGTTGTTGACTTGAGCCTTTTACAGTTCAGCATATTAATATGGCTTTTCTTTTTGTACCTCATGTTTATACTTTTCTGCTGGATGGTTAAGACCAAGATAAAGCAAGACCTATATAACAAAAAATGTAACTTTTGACATGCAATTTGTATTTGAACTTTTTAAAATAGAGTTTACCATTCAAATTAGTAGTATAAGGTAGAGCTTCACAAAAATGAACTTTGATACCATGCTTTGCAGGTAAGCAGTTCAAAGAATAAATATAAACGAGGTTTATCTGTTTGTAAAAACCAGCTTGAGATCTGTGCAAGCAGTAGGGGCAAACTTCTGGCATGCATGCAGCAGCAGGCTCTTTGTATCATTGAAAGCTCTAAAAGGTTTGCAGTCTCTGCAAGACCACAGCTCCGGGAACTGCAGAGCATGCAAACAAACACTAGAGGGCACTTGCGGCACACAATGAAGGCTCTAACCCCCCCCCCCCCATGTCACCCACACTGGTCTTGCACTTGCTGTACTCTCACACCTTATTAAGGGATTTAATGAAAATCAGAATCATAGAAGAGTGCTCACATCATAAACCTAGGGCGGGGCTGGTATGAAGAGAAACCAAGATAGAGAAGAGGCAAGATTCTCACAATTTTTAACATATTTTTAGAACACTTTGAAAACACTTCTATTCATAAGTAATTTAATTTCATGGGAGTTTTTTTAAATTTTTTAACTTCTGTTTTCAATCTGGATCATAGTTTTCCACTTCTTAGAAAATGTGCATTGAATTTGTGACATCCTATTGAAGGCTAATGCCAAGAGTGTGAACAGGCTACAGAGGGGTTGGTTAATAATAATAATAATAATAAAAATCTTAATAAATGACATTTGGGGCTGGGGAGATAAGGGCGGTCCAAGCGCCTGCCTGGCCAGAGCAAAGGCCAGGGTTCAATTCCCGGATGCTCTTGTCAGCCCCAGACCCCCCGCGGTGGTGCAGCCCTGTAACCCCAGCGCTTGGGAGGCTAAGGCAGGAATACCACTACGAGTCTGAGCTGCGTGGCGAGATGTACCAAATAAATAAAATATTTTTTAAAATTTTAAGTGATATAAATAATGATAATCTGTGTAGCCTTGAAAAAGATTTAATGTTGTGTTAGTTTATAGGAAAGCATCATTTGCTACAAAAGGTTCTTGATGCTGCCGCTGCTCCCTAGTTACTGAAAGCTAAGTGCTGAAGAA